GGCTCCGCGGCTGTGTCGTGACACTTGGCGTCGCTTTTCTGGTGCGATGCCCAAATAAGAAATCGGAAATGCTGCCGGACGTCATTTCGGGCTCTTTTGCTCCTTTATGCAAATATGGTTCTAAATAATGCGTTTTTGTCAAAAACTGGATACGGAGGAAATTCAGCCTCATTTCCTTTAATTTCTTTCTTCCTACGGCTAAAAGCAAAATGTGCTTTTAATTTTATTTTTTTATTATTCTTATCCTTACTTCTTCGCCACGTTTTCTGCTGCGTGGTTGCTAGGCTGGTTTGTTTTGGGTTTATATGGGAGTGACAGTCGATATGGCCTGAGGTTTGTGTTCAGAGGTCTGGTTCTTCATAACTTAAAAACAAGTGAATAGTGGGTTTTTTTCATAATAAGGTCTATTGATGCTTTGTACGTACGTAAGTTGTATTTGTTTAACAATTCACAAAGGTGAAAGTCAAAAACGACCGAGGGTTAATTGCTCACAAGTGAAGAAGTGTTGCAAACGAAGATGCTTCCTGTCACTGTGCTACATCTTGTGTCTGTAGTAAAAACAAACCCTGAACTCTTACACAATTTTTTAAAAAAACCTAAACTTCTCTCCAGATCACAGAATATTTTACCAAGTTTAATTGCATCTAGATAAATATATAGTCCCATTATTAACAATTAAATGTTTGTATGTTAATCATGGTTGAAAGGATGAGTTGAAAGAGGAGTTGAAATGCTTCAGGTAAGCTTTTTCAATCCTGAACCAAACATAATTTCAGTGGGCTTGATTTTATTTTTTTTCCTTGCAAAACTGATGGGTTGGGATCTGTAAGGGATAGGGCTGTGGAAGCAGAAGTGAGCAAAGTGAAACCAGGCCAGCGTGTCCCGGCGCTGAGAATCCGCAGGTGTGCGGTGCGGGACCGAAGAGGGTATTATCCCCTCCGAGCCGTGTCGGGTTTATCCTAGGACGAACCGAAGGACTTTGTGGTGCTCGACGTGCAGCCTGGGCGTAGCTGCTGTGCGGTGACTTGCTGCAGGTCAGTGTGTTTATAAGCCAGAATTAGAGATGCGATCCCGTGGGCTGCTTATTTTCTCTTTACTTGCAGCTTTTGAATTTGCATTTGGTAGGTTTTATCCAGTTTGAGGTATTGGAATTATTAAGCAGCAGTAGTAAAATCTTGTCTGTGTACAGTCAGGCTATACGTTCATTGATTAAAAAGGCAGTTTTAATAAAATATTAGTTTTTAAAGCTTGAATCGGTTGTGATTGTTCCAGAACTCACAGTAGAGAATATGTGGCCAAAAGAAGAAAAAACACCCCAGAATAAGCCTCATAAGCTAAAAGACCAGACAGGAGGATTAATTTGTCTTTTTTTTTGTCTAAACATGTTTGAAAAGCCTTTGAAGTAGAAAGGGGGGGAGAAAAAAAAAAGGGAAGAAAAAAAAAAAAAAGGTAGTAATATGTCTGTAACCATCTGCCCTGGCAAGAAGGAAGTGATTTTTATTTATTTATTTTTAAACTGAGTGCGTTTAGGATGTTTCTGCAAACTCTTGTGGTCGTCCTGGTGCTTGTTTTGACTCTAGAAATGTAGGTTTCTGGAAGGGTGGGGAGAACTCTCAGAAGTGTTTTAGGTATGTAGTGTCCTCCTGAGCTGTAGTGCAGCAAAGCCCAGAGCTCTGGATCTGTTTAGACTTGTATGGTTGAGCAGTCTCATGAGTGATAAGATCGGGAGTTATGTGTGTTTTAAAGATTCTGGGGAAAATATTGCTGCCTTCAACAAATAATTTAAACTTGTTATGTCTTTTTCGCAGGGGACATACTAAATAATAACTTCTGGGGGCCCGAAATGGATCACATAAATTGTGCTGTGTTAAATATTATCTGTGTGATTATAATTAAAGCTACTTGAATAAATAATTTTTATTCGGAGCTGATAAATGTTAGAGGTGTACACTTCTGCTCTCCTGTTGTATTTTCTGCTATCTTTTTGGTGTTGTAGTGTTCAGAAACGTCAGTTGAGCAATACAGAGCACTGAATTTCTTAAAAAAAAGTGATTGATTTAGGCAGTCTAGAAGAGCTTTCTTTCCCAACGTAAATTTAACTAATGGTTTGAGAGGATGTTGTTGCAATTGATTAGTGTCCAAATTACAAAAGATAGTGAGAGCTTAGTAGTGCAGAAGCAATTTCTACTGTTCTCTTTTCAGAAAAGTGTCTTTCCACTGCTTGCATATCATTAAAATCAAACACAGGAGTAGGTTTTTCTGAATATTTTAAGCTAAATTCTGATTTCTGCCTTATTTTTTTGGCCTTCCTGGCAAGGATTTGCTTTGATGCTTGGAAGCAATCACGTGCTCAACAAGTCTGTGATGGACAAGGCACACGCTGTTAATGTGTTAGAGTGGTTGAAGGAGGCTGGGTCAGCTGTTAGATTTTTGGTCTAGACTGCAGGGGGCTGGATTTAATTTCTAGTTCTAACAGACACTTTTTATCTTAGAAAAATGACTCCTTGTTGCTCAGGTCCCCATCTGGAAATACAGCTTACTCTGCTTTGGGAGGTGTTGTGGGGGTGAATGTTCTCAGCAATATCCCCTTCCTTATTCTGAAAGTGGAAAGTGAGTTGGTGTAAGAGATCTTAAGTACAGTAAATACTCTGTGGCTTTAATGTAAAGAATCCACAAACAACAAGTAGCTGGGTTATCCATGCAAATCAGAAGTGTGTATTTCTTCTAAAGTGTGAGGGGAAAATTACCTGGCTTGGGACGACGTGACTTGAGTGTCCTGTGGCTGCTGCGCAGGATTGAAGTGCATTGCCGCGATCAGCTGGACTCCAGTCTTGTTACAAGAGCGCTCTTCTGGCAAAATCCCCACTTAACTGCAATTAGTTGTCTTGTTACAGCACGAAATGTACCACTTTAAAGTCGAATTACCTCAGGGGGATGTAGCTGTGTTCACCTGTGGATCAGCCGCTGATGTGGGGGGGATGTCGTAGCCAAAAGCACCAGGAGCAATTGAGAGGGTAATATTCTGATCTGGGGACTCGAACACAGGGGATAGAAGCTGCTGCATAAATTATGTCATTGGGTTCGTTGGTAACTCACTTCCCTGGGCCTTCGCTGGTGTCTCTCGACCTGAGAGGCCAGAACAGGAACCGAGGAGGGACGGGCACCTCAGGGATAGTCGCAGAGCGCCTCGGTGTTGGGATGGCTGTAGCTGTTAAACTTGCTGTGCCAGAAGTTTCAGTCAACACGTTTAAAATAGAGAAGCAGCCCCTTCCTTATACAACAGTTGCTGATGCCAGATTTTTAATACTATGCACATAGGCTAACCTCGCAGTAGGTCTGAGAACAATAGTTGAGTCACTTCCTCATTGTGTGCCTGCCAAGGCCTGGTCCTCGCTGCTGGATTTTCATAGTAACAGGTGACATCACTCCTGCCTGACTCTCTGAAAGGACAGGAGCTCCCTGGGGTGTAGCTGCCACGGTCACCTGGTGCAGAATTACAAATAGCTTACGGTTGTTATAGTTCCTTGGATTTCTGCCTAAAAAAAAAAAAGTTTTACAATTTTGTTACCATTCAGCAATATTATTTTTTTTTTTTTTTTTAATGAGCACCTAAAACCCAATTGATTAAACTTGTCAGCTGATGTGTGTAATAATGTATTGTGGCTCTTTGGAGCAGACGGGTGGAAATGCACCTGTGAATGCCTGGTATTTGTGCTTCTAAAATGCAGATTAACTCAGGGCTTCAGAGTGCCACCTGTTCCGTGATCGGTTAATAAGTTACCTTCATATTTTGTAAGTTGACACTATATTTAAAATGGATACTTATCTTTAAACATCTGTGGAGATGCTGTTACACAGTGAGCTGACTGGATTTGAGCTCACCATAGTAATAGGCTGTTGTGTGCTACGGTAGTGTCTTTTTTTTCCCCTTTTTCCCTCTTCTTTTGCACATTCTGTGCGGACAGTTCCTCTTGGCTGATCTTTCTATTAAAAGCCAGTGCTTGGAGGTAACATCAATAAAAAGTCACACCATTTAGAGACTGTGTTTTGCAAACACACTGCATTTCATTTGAAGATAATGAAACAAAGCTCATGCCATTGAGTCCAGTTCCTTACTGCTGAGGGCAAATGTGAAGTGGCTTACTCTTATTTTTGAATTTAAACTCATGCAATTGGCTGTTAAAATTTAATGTGCAATAGTGAAACTGGCTTGTGTGGAATCTAAATGAGGCTTTCAGGGAAGCTAGCTTGTTCTGATCTGCTTGTGAGTTGTAGCTTAAAAATGCTACAGCAACTATTTGTATTAAATTTCTTTTAATAAAGATGTAATGTTCTCGCTGTGGACATATTTCTTGTCTCTTGTCAGAGAATTAAGTTACAGATACCAGATATATTGCATTAAATGTCTAAGTGCAAAAGAGTTATTAAAATACCGTGTTGATAGATAAAGGCCATGAGTGGTTTGTATGCTGCCATTTATTAGCTAGTTAAAATGTTCAGAAATAAATATTTATCTTGTCTAACCCAATATCTTTTAGAAGCAGTTGGGGCGTTTAATACATCTGATGAATTTGCTTTGATTTGAATTTGCTACCTCAGAGGAGTGATCCCAAATGTTTTGTTAATACTGTGCTGGTCCCTCTCCCACCTTTTTCCACTCCAAGTTGCCATGGATTGTAGTGCACTTATCTCCTCTCGGCTTTTAGGGAGACCTTGCTCAACAAGTCAAAGAATCAAGCAATCGAGTGAACGGAGTTTTGGGGGAGGTCTGGTGGTCTGGGGGGTTGTTGCCAGCGTGGTGTTGAGGTGCGGGAGCTCCCCGTTGCAGAGCTGCAGCAGAACCAGACCCAGGAGACCCCGAGGGCTGCCCTTGGCTTGTGTTTTGGAGTCTGTTTGGATTGTATAACTTAAGCACTGACCTTGTGGTTTAGGTTAATGGACCTGATGGCATTCTGCAGAACGGAGCTGTGGATGATAATGTGGCTAAAACCAGCCAGCTGCTGGCAGAGTTGAATTTTGAAGAAGACGAAGAAGACACCTATTACACAAAGGATCTTCCAGTGCACGCTTGCAGGTGAGACCTCAGCTTTGCCGCAGGCTTATTATTTCCAGAGGGCAAGAGCACGTGGAGTGAGTGAAAGGTGTAAGCTTGGAGGGTTTTGGGGGTTTGAGAGCAACATTTTTGGAGACCTGCACGTCCTGGTAGAGAGGGCTGCCCTCTGGTGAGCTGTGGTGGGCATACAAGTCAGCTGCCATGGCCACTGAATCTGGGACCACCCTTGAGGAATAGTGGGCGAAGCCAACCTAGGGATGGCAAGGGTTAAAATAACTGTGGCTTGGAGCACAAGTTCCGCTTGTCTTTGATGTTACTAATGCTCCCTAATATTCACTTCCCCTTATTTTTGTGCTACTACTACTACTAGATAGCTTAAATCTTTTTAAATTTTAGTTTTCCTATAAGCAAATACCCAATCACTTCCTCCTTTTATTTATTTATTTATTTATTTTTAATTCCAGTTACTGTGGTATCCATGACCCTGCTTGTGTGGTTTACTGTAACACAAGCAAGAAGTGGTTCTGTAATGGACGTGGAAATACATCTGGCAGGTAAACGGTCAAATGATGGAAATACCAGTGACAATCTTGGTTTAGAGTGTGCTTGTTTTGAAGTGGTAGGAAGGCTGTGACAATATTTCTGTGATAATTGAAGTCTAATGACTTAAATGTGAGCCTTCAGCTGCTTCTGGCTTCTCCGCTGTTACCGACTTGGATCTCAGTCTCGGCAAAACTTGAATCACTTCTGTGAAGCAAGCGTGCTGCTTCTTCCCCCAGCGCATGTTCCTGCAAAGCACAGTAGAACTAATGCTCTTGACCTTTGGAGCTTTTGGAGGCTTCTTTCAATTACCAGCCACATAGAAAGATTTTTTTTATATGTTTCCTGCTCTTCCACACTCATCTACCTTAAAGCATTGATGCGCTGAGATGCAGCTGAAACCACAGGGCCTTTGCTTGGATGGAAAGAGCGAGATCTTAGTGATGTCTGTCAGGACGTTTGTGCCTTTTAATAACTGAGCTGATATATTAAGTTAGGACTAAATGTGATTTTCCTGTTAACTTAATATAAACGTATATCCTCTTTGTTTTCAGCCACATTGTTAATCACCTTGTGAGAGCGAAGTGCAAAGAGGTGACTCTCCATAAAGATGGGCCCCTAGGAGAGACTGTCTTGGAATGCTATAACTGTGGGAGCTGATACATTAAGTTAGGACTAAGTGTGAATTTCCTGTTAATATAAACGTATATCCTCTTTATTTTCAGCCACATTGTTAATCACCTTGTGAGAGCGAAGTGCAAAGAGGTGACTCTCCATAAAGATGGGCCCCTAGGAGAGACTGTCTTGGAATGCTATAACTGTGGATGTCGTAACGTGTTTCTCCTTGGCTTTATTCCAGCTAAGGCAGACTCCGTGGTTGTTTTGCTGTGCAGGTGAGAGAATGCCTTTGTTGCTGTGTTTGTGTCAAGTCTGTTGCATAACCTTATTTCTGAAGGGCGATGCCTGCTTTCGTTTTGTACCAAAATAGATTTTACACTCTTCATTTGCCACTGTTTTTCCTTTAGATGATCTTACAGATTTCATGAATTGTATACAAGTAGGTGATGCAACAAAGGTTATGCTGGGCAAGCGTCTTAGCTCTATAGAAAAGTCTTTCTCCCATATGAAACAGTTCTTGATAAAAGGAAGGTGTTTCCCCCCCTGTTTTTTTTTTTAACTGATTTCTCAGATTTCAAAGAAACAAACCATTTCAGGAAGTTACTCAGAAGCCTTACTGGAGCGGTGGCTCTGTTACACCGTATGTTTTCTGTCAGCGCTTAGAATCATTAGAGTACGACAGTAAATTGGAAATTGTTCTCTGACAGGTTCTGTCAGAAATCATGATTCTATAATTGCGTGTATTGTAATTAAATGCTGTCACTTACCATGTATTTGACAGTAGAAGGTGTGTTTCTACGGAATGAGCTCTTCTCTCTGTTTAAACAACAGATGGGAAGTAATCCTGAGTGTTTTCTGATATATGTGTGCATAATCTTAATGGAGTGTAACCACTTCCACAGGTGACTGTCACATTTTAGATGCTGAAATTTTCAGTTTTAGAAGCACCTAGAAATACTACTTACGATACCGACCCGTCCCAGTGTTGAAGTAGCAAATATATGGACTTAAAAATTAATTGGCCCAGCAGGCTAGAGTTTTTTGGTTTTTTTTTCCTTTTAGCTAAGATCCTTGAGTTGTTTAAAGAGCATTATAAACCTATTTTTATGCTTTGCAAGGTAGACTTTGTCTTACACTTGTCTAATTTAATAATTTTTTTCAATATTTTGGTTGTGCAGGCAGCCATGTGCCAGTCAGAGCAGTTTAAAGGATATTAATTGGGACAGTTCACAGTGGCAGCCTCTCATCCAAGATCGCTGCTTCCTTTCGTGGCTGGTAAAGATTCCATCTGAACAGGAACAGTTGAGAGCACGTCAGATTACAGCTCAGCAGATTAACAAACTGGAAGAACTTTGGAAGGTATGTGCTGCTTTTCAGATCCTGTTTTACCAAGTGCCGATTTTGTGTTTTTGTGAAGGAGGGATGAGACTTGTTTTAGCAACTGTGTAAGGCAGGGACCGTACTAAAGTCACATGAAGTTTAAATCCTGCAGATTTGACAAGCAGTGCAGCTGGGAATTGGTCAGAGGATTCGGGAATTGTTTATCAGCCTAGCAAAGTTTCACCCTTAGGTTCCTCCGCTCTGTTTGAGTTGCGCTGTCAGGCCCATGTGTGGCACATAATCTCTTGATGTACTTTTAACAGGGGGTTACACCTTGATATAACATCCTGCAGGAGGAAACCGCGGTATTATCAGTCCTGTTGCACAGTGAGAGACCGCTGCTGTGCTTAAGGTTAAACCAAAATGTCTTTGCTTTAAATTCTAGGAAAATCCATCTGCAACCCTCGAGGACTTGGAAAAGCCTGGTGTTGATGAAGAACCACAGCATGTCCTGCTTAGATATGAAGATGCTTATCAGTACCAAAATATATTTGGTCCTCTGGTCAAGCTTGAGGCAGACTATGACAAGAAACTGAAGGAGTCTCAGGTAATCCGCTTGAAATGTTTGATACGAGTTCTCACACGTGGTCACTGTTAAAGGCATAGGAGTGAATTAAAACGTCTTTTGCAGAAGTATTATGTAGCAGTAATTACAGTAGTAATGATGATGTTTGATAGCAGGGAGAGGAAAGGAAAATCCTTCAACTGAGGAGTTTTTCCAAGAGCTGTATTCTACAGTAGTACTGTGACTTGGCCACTTCTTGTATCTTTATCCTCCTAACCTGCAGTGACCTTTGTCAGTCCAGTTTCCAGTCACACAGTGAATGTTTTAAAGGTGGGGGAGAGAAGAACGCAGGTGGTGATTAGGACTTTGTTTCTCATTAACTAAGTAACTCTTGTAGAACAGAATTACCTTCTGCAGATGGCTTGAAATCAGTCCCTAAGAATAAATACAGATACTTGTCTATACTGAGATGCTGGAAGAGCAACTTGTGTGTTTCTCCACTAGCTTGAAGTGTAGGAGAGCAAGGACTGTGGTAGCTGGCAGACAGCTCTTTAAGAACATAATAGATGCCTTTTCTTTACCATTAGACCCAAGATAACATCACAGTCAGATGGGACCTGGGCTTGAACAAGAAAAGAATTGCTTATTTCACTTTGCCAAAGACTGATTCAGGTAATGTCAGCTTGACTGTATGACTCATCTGGTTTGTTTTGATTGTTTTGTTTTGAGCTGGGTTGTTTTTTTTTTTAGTGCCTGGTGAATATAATTTTTAAAGAACTGGGATCCTTAAGTTTTATGTGTTGGGGAACGGTTGCTTGTTGGTGAGCGTTCAAAGAGCATTTTTTCCTGCCTTTCTAGATATGCGTCTTATGCAAGGAGATGAGATCTGCTTGAGGTACAAAGGAGACCTGGCCCCTTTGTGGAAAGGAATTGGTCATGTTATCAAAGTTCCAGATAGTATCCTTTACTTAGGGAGCCTTCAGGAAGGCTTAATCAAAGGTCTTTGAGACATGGGTAAATGTGTACCAAAGTAATTCTGAGATGATTTTAATTTGTCGTGGGAATCTGCTAAAAGAAAAAAAAATTATCAAAATTGGGAAAAATAAAATTCAAATTTTTGCTATAGATTACTACTTAACGAGGTTCTACAGATTATGGTGATGAGATAGCCATTGAGCTGAGGAGCAGCGTTGGAGCGCCAGTGGAAGTCACTCATAACTTCCAAGTGGATTTTGTGTGGAAGTCGACTTCATTTGACAGGTATTGAGAAAGCGCTTCAAAACTTGGCAGGTAGTGGGTGCAGGTGGTGTAGACGTTCACCTCTAGCTTCAGTGGGAATTTTTTTACAACGTGAGCTGTGTTGTCTCCTCACACTGGCAGTCAGAACTCTGAGTATGCCCAAAGTATCAAGTCTAAGTATCAAGTTCATAAAGCAACGGGCCTAACTTTTACTAGAAAATGAATTAATCTGAGTGCCATCAGACTGTTGATTTTTCTCACTTTGAGGTCACGCTTAACGTTTGTTGGAAATACTTCAAGCAGCACAATTTACCTCATGTTTAGCAATACAAATTCAGTAATACAAATTTTCCTCGAATCTTGAACCTAAAGTTACTGTTGCAAATTCTGTCTAAGGCTGGTGGTGTTTCTCTGCAGATTTTTGTACAATACTGTGTAATGTTGAGTTGAAGAACAATATTCTGAGTCTGATTTTTGTCTCTTAGTTTTGTTAGTAGTGTTCTATGTTGTTTGGTTTGGGTTTTTTTTTTCCCCCCAATGTTTATTTTAGTGTGTGCCTGATGTCTTTGTGTAGGACACTTGCGGACAGTTGCGTTTGAGGTCACGCTGATTACTTCTTCTTCTGCCCTTCCCTCCTTTCAGAATGCAGAGTGCTTTAAAAACATTCGCTGTGGATGAGACCTCGGTGTCTGGGTACATCTATCACAAACTCTTAGGTCATGAGGTAGAAGATGTAATTATTAAATGCCAGTTGCCAAAGCGCTTTACAGCACAAGGACTTCCTGATCTCAACCATTCTCAGGTAACTTCATCTCGGTTTTATGACGTGCAAAGAACAGGGTACAGGATTTATGAGTAGCACTTGAACAACTCTGTCACTTCCTATGCACTGAATGCTAAAAAGCAATAATTTTTGTTTCTAGGTTTATGCTGTGAAGACTGTCCTGCAGCGTCCTCTGAGCCTTATTCAGGGTCCCCCTGGTACCGGAAAAACAGTGACATCAGCCACCATCGTGTATCATCTGGCGAGACAGGGCAACGGGTAACAACTGTTCTCTCTACATCGTTATGTATGAGGGTACCTAATTACAAGTCTAGTGGAGAAAGCTCTACAGCTCACTGAGACCGCCTTTCTGTTTCACTTTTTTCAAGGCCTGTGTTAGTCTGTGCTCCGAGTAATATAGCTGTGGATCAGCTGACTGAGAAGATCCATCAAACTGGCCTGAAGGTCGTTCGCCTGTGTGCTAAAAGTCGTGAGGCCATTGACTCTCCTGTATCCTTCTTGGCCTTGCACAACCAGATCAGGAACATGGATAGGTAAGAAGTGGTGGAGGGGAGGGAAAAAACCACCTGAGGTGTCATGGTGGGCACAACTGATAAACTGTGTAATGATGATAACGTATCTACTTGATGTGATAACGTTTTAACATTCTATACGTGTATCATATTTAGTTTATGAGTTCCTCTGCAATCCTACCAAGTTTTTAATTAGGGGATAAAGCTAAATTCCTTTTTTCTTGCAGCATGCCAGAGCTTCAGAAACTGCAGCAGCTGAAAGATGAAACTGGAGAACTGTCATCTGCCGATGAGAAACGTTACCGTGCGCTGAAACGAACGGCAGAGCGCGAGTTACTTATGGTAAGGTGCCGTTGGTTCTAGCACCTTAAATAATGCCCTTCTCCCTCTTGAGGCGTGGTTGCAGTTTGCTGGTGGAGCTCAGAGTACAATTTAACTTCTGGGGGGAATTCCTGGAACAGTGTTGAGTACTCTTCCATGTAGAAATCATAGTGTCTCTTTCTGTCCTACCTGATGAATTTTGGTCGCGTTTCTGTTGCAGAACGCGGATGTGATCTGCTGCACGTGTGTGGGAGCCGGCGATCCGAGACTTGCGAAGATGCAGTTCCGCTCCATTCTCATTGATGAAAGCACGCAGGCTACTGAACCGGAGTGCATGGTGCCAGTTGTCCTGGGAGCAAAACAGGTAGGAGCTGTGGGATTTCGTTAAAGAAAATGTCATTAAAGGAAGTTTATAAGTAGAGAAAGTAGCAACAAGCAGTGACATTCAAAGTCTGAGAAAAATAAAAACTTAGATACCTACCAGCTTCCTTTTTCTGCAGCTTATTCTTGTGGGCGACCACTGCCAGCTTGGTCCTGTCGTGATGTGTAAGAAAGCTGCCAAGGCTGGCCTGTCGCAGTCTCTCTTCGAGAGGCTCGTGGTGCTGGGGATTCGTCCGATTCGCCTGCAAGTGCAGTACCGCATGCACCCCGCCCTGAGTGCTTTTCCATCCAATATCTTCTACGAGGGGTCACTCCAGAATGGTGTTACTGCAGGTAAGCAAGGAGGGTGCTCCTGCAAATTACTTCCTTTTCTGTTCCCTAAGGATCAAAGGAAGCATTCTTTAATCTAGATGAGGATTTTTTTTTAATATATTAGTTTAAAAAAAAGAATTGCTGCTGCTATTAGTGTGGAGTCTTTAAGGTGCTTTGACATGAAAGTGAGTGTTCTTGCCACTAAAGCAGTGCTAACTCCTCTTACTTGCTGTTTCTGTGCTCTCCAGCCGACCGTGTGAAAAAAGGTTTTGATTTCCAGTGGCCACAGCCAGATAAGCCCATGTTTTTCTATGTTACACAAGGACAGGAAGAAATTGCCAGCTCGGGCACCTCTTACTTAAACAGGTAAAGGACATTGGACACCAAGATATAAAGTTACACTGGGATGAAGTATTTTTAAGTACCTCACATGTAAGGAAGATTTTTAATTGTGACTGACCGCAAGGGATGTCGCAGAATGAACAGATCGATTTGACAAAGTCAGGGGAAACTGGAGTACACTATTCCTACCAAATAGACCAAATATCTAAGCCTTCCTTTATTCTCCAGAATATCTGTACCGAAATTCAGACTTTCTTGTATTCACCGTGACTTGTGGTGCCTTGCTGTGAGAATAGAGACGGAACAGCTAAAGAAAGGCCTGTGTTTTCAAAGTCCTAAGTCTTAGATCTTTGACAGGGGTGCAAAAGGGATGGGAATTTAATTTTTATTTTTCTATCCCTCTTTTCTTCTGCACGTTTCAACTTCTTTATCAAAGGGTGAGCTTAAAACACTTCACTGCTCCTGCATTTGTTCATGTAGCTGGAAGGGAAACCAGACCAACTTAGGAAAAATATCTAATGTTTTTAATCTTGATTTGTTTCCTGAGCAGCATGTGCAAGACTGAACGCCGTGAGCCAGATTGTGCACAAACAAATGGCACAATAGTTGGCTGGTAGAGAGATTGGCGTTAAAAACATTCTATATTTAAAACTTTAAGATAAAGCAATTGAAGGATCAGTTTGCACAGCAGGCTGGAACATTTTTAGTGATCTTACTCAAAAAAGTACACATGCACATACCACTACTTAAAAAGATACATTTTGGAATGGTGCTTGCCATGAATTTTGCTATTTCAGGAGTCTGTCTGTGTAATCCTAGGAAGGTGGAAGCATATGTAAGGAGAAATTTCATTCTGAGACTTTTTTTTTTTTTTGAGATGTTGGGTTTTGCCTTCCTCTGGCTGAGAATATATACCTGTGCATGGTCCAAGCCGAGGTGATAGTGGTGAATGTTGCTGCACAGCTGAGTGCTTGAGCAGTGTAAAACTGATCTTTTTTTGAAGTAGCCTTTCTGATCTAAGACTGGCTCAGCACACTCGAGTTCCTTAAACCTGTTAACTTTACAAAAAAAAAAATTAGACCTAATGCCTTTGTTCTCCTTCAGTAAAAAAATAAAACTCTCTCTGTCTAGGACGGAAGCTGCCAATGTGGAGAAGATAACTACCAAGCTCTTGAAAGCTGGTGCCAAACCAGATCAGATTGGCATTATTACTCCTTACGAAGGTCAGCGATCCTATCTGGTGCAGTACATGCAGTTCAGCGGTTCCTTGCATACGAAGCTCTATCAGGTACGGAGTCATTGCACAAATGAGAACACTTGGATGCAGAGAAGCTTAAAAAGTCAGATATTGTGAAACTTCACAATATTTTTTTGTTTTTAATTTGGCTCCTTAGGCGTCAGTCTGTGTTTATTCTTCAGTAATTTTGAGGTTTTTAGTTGCTGTGGTTTAAATAGACCAGGTTGATGAGTTTAGGAGGTATCAAATGCCAGTAAGTCTCAGGGGAGCCGTTGGCCAGAGAAAGGAGGGAGCCCTGTTCAGGTCTAGGTTGAAAAGAAGGCTTCAGTGCGTCCGTCCTCTGAGGACTTGGTGAGGCACGGAAGGGAGAGGTTGTGAGTGCTTCAGCTGTGGAAAAGCTTCAGTCACCTCATGTCTTGGATAAAAGTATCCTGCCAAGAGACACGAAAGAAACCAAGCTCCATAAATTCTGAGGATCATATGATTTATTTGCTTGGGAATACATCCTCCCATCAGTGGAAAAAAGCTCTACCAAACATTAAAATTTGTTGCTACAAACAAGACTTATGTTTAATATGGTCTGTTTTGCAATACTGAGACCTTGGTCAGTGTTTTTGCTGAAGGAAAACTTGGTGGAAATACTTTTATTTCTGCCAGAAATGATCTGTCCCTCTGATTCAGGTTTCTCGGTAGCCGGGAGCAGCAATGCTAATTTGGACTTGTCTTACTACAAGGTTTTGGAATAGTCAGAAGGGCTTCTGGCAAAATACCCAGAAAAGGGATGCTTTCCATAGTGCAAATGCCAGTTTTGGGGGAAATATGACAACTCTCAAGCAGTGAGCATAAAAGTAATTTGTCCTCAACTGAGACTGACTGTTCTCCTTTAGGGAAACAATTTAGCGACCGGTGGAATTACCGAATCATTCGTCTTTACAAAAATAACGTTTTTGCCAGATGAGGGGAACTGCTAGCACACAGCCAATGTGTTTTGTAATGCCTGGTGGTAGCGTGTTTTGTGCTGTGCTTCCGTGATTTACATGTTTTCCTCTGTTTCAGGAAGTGGAAATCGCAAGCGTGGATGCCTTCCAGGGCCGAGAGAAGGACTTTATTATCCTTTCTTGTGTGAGGGCCAACGAACACCAGGGAATAGGGTTCCTGAATGACCCAAGGCGTCTTAATGTAGCTCTTACAAGAGCAAGGTAAAGTAAAATGGGACAAATCTATTCTAGAGACCTGATTTGGTCTGCGAAAGGTTTGATACAGCCTGGGCTGAGGGAGCTGTAAATTGTAGGCAACATGGAAATGATTCACAAGAGCAAATTCAGCCTAATCAGTTACGGTTGGCATCAGTAGTTTGTGGAAGCCGCCACATCGTTCCCCTTTGTCTACAGGACAGAACTCTTCCCTTCATCTGCTGCTTTATCCCTTCCAGCAACCATGTTTTATCATTTTGCTTCTCTTAATGCATTTGATTACTGAGAAGGATAATTTGGAATCAGCGCTGTTGGTCGGCTTCCTTGGTTTCTGCAAGCTTTCACACGGGTACAGCGCGGTGGCTGGATGAGGCCGCTGACGTGTTTGGCAAGCCTGCAAAAGGAAGCTTGTGATTACTGAGAAATGGACTGCAGCAATCTGCTTTCAGGTGTTTGGCCGTACTACAGAAATCACCTGCGGTGAACAAAACAGTTGCACGGAGTCTCCTACACCTGCCCTCATGGGCTTCTGTTACGTGCCTGCATTTACCGCACGAGAGGTTGACTTTTTGAGGCTGTTCTGGCGTAGTATGCAACGTGGCTTTATTTTTAGTCCCAGTTAATTTGAGTTTCTTTGCTCTCACGCAGGTATGGAGTCATTATTGTTGGGAACCCAAAAGCGCTGTCTAAACAACCACTTTGGAATCATCTGCTGAATTACTACAAGGAGCAAAAGGTTCTGGTGGAGGGACCACTGAATAACCTCCGGGAAAGCCTCATGCAGTTCAGCAAGCCCCGGAAGCTTGTCAATACCATCAACCCGGTGAGTTGACCTCTCCTGTCACTCAGATGTTGGTGGCACGAAGCAGTTGGGGGTGGGTTGATAAGTTAGAAATGGGTGGAATAAACAGTCACCCGTAACTTTCCACATATTAGAACTAGTTGGTCTCCGTGGCGTTTTTAAATCTGCGTGAGCTGCGGAGCTTTACTGGGATTTTACCCAAAATAACTTACAGTGAAGTTTTCTGTGTAAAGGCTTTGTCTAACATCTGTAATCCTTCCAGGGTGCCCGTTTCATGACCACTGCCATGTATGATGCACGTGAGGCCATTATTCCAGGATCTGTCTATGATCGGAGCAGTCAAGGTAAAAAAACCTCTCAAAAGTAGCACCTTCATAGTTTTTTTTTTTTTTTCTTCCCCAACTAGTCCATTTAAGTGTTTGAACAGCCACTACAGAAAAATATGAAAATGTTTGTAAGTGTGTGTGTGTAAGTATTCTGGGGAATCTTAGATGGTGCTGTAAAAGAGTAACTGTGTAGAGATCAACACGTGAAATTAGTCACTGAAGCTTTCAAGTGCGCAAAAAACAGGGCAGTGCTGGGCTCATCCTTTCAGTTCCTGCCTCTGATGTACCCTGCTCACAAGTCCTCCCATTACTGTTAAAAGCAGGAATATAAATGGACTTTTAAATATTGTGGATGCCCAAAATCACTGTGATTTTTCCTCCCCTCCCCAGGGCGCCCGTCCAACATGTACTTCCAAACCCACGACCAGATCGGGATGATCAGTGCTGGCCCCAGCCACGTCACCGCTATGAACATTCCCATCCCGTTCAACCTCGTGATGCCACCGATGCCACCCCCGGGATACTTTGGCCAGGCCAACGGACCAGCTGCAGGTACGGGGATAAGTCAGAGGGTGGGGTTTGAGTATGTATAAAACGTTGCCTCTTGGGAGTAATCACGTCTTTATAGAAACAGTTCATTCTCCCAGGTGTGTGTGTGTAAGCCTTCTCACTGTTGGTTGGGGTAAATCTTTTTCCAGGACGTGGGGCGCCGAAAGGAAAGACCGGTCGTGGCGGGCGCCAGAAAAATCGTTTTGGGATTCCTGGAACTAGTCAGTCAAACCTTCCCAATAGTCAAGCGAGCCAAGATGTGGTGTCCCAGCCGTTCTCGCAGGGTCCCCTGACTCAGGGGTATATCTCCATGAGTCAGCCCTCACAGATGAGTCAGCCTGGGCTCTCCCAACCCGAATTATCACAGGTGAGCATTAACTCACGTGTTTGCTCTTTTTCCTGGGTTTTCTGTGGGTGATGTGTGTGCAGACGCAGCCTTGTTTCCTAGTACTGAGGAAAATGGAAACCGATTGTTTTCAAAGGCTCAGCCACTGTCTCACACCGTTCCACGGGGCGGGCTTGCTAAGTACCCTCAAGCATGAAAGTGAAAAAAGGCTCAGCTTGAGCCTTAACTTTGGGACTGCCTGTTTGGCAGCCCGCTACCCCAAACCCCTTTGTATTTGTGGAAATCCAGCAGCAAACGGAGTAGATGTAAGAAAAGTAAAGCACAACCAAACAGAAAGGGCTCAGCAAAACAAAACCTCCTGGACTTTGTGATAACCTTGGCTGCCGGGCATTCTGCTTTGGGAGGGAGCGCTTGATGCTGAGTTAGAGGCTTAACACCCCCTTTCGTTTCCAGGACAGTTACCTTGGTGATGAGTTTAAATCTCAGATTGACGTGGCGCTGTCACAGGACTCTACTTACCAGGGTGAACGTGCATATCAACATGGTGGAGTGACGGGACTGTCACAGTATTAGAGTGTAAGGCACTTGGGTCACTCCCCTGCTCCTTCCTCCCCAGTTTTAATTGGTGAACACAGCTGTTTAAGAGCGACGTCCCTAATGCCGCTGTCGTTTCGCTTTCAGGTTGAGGAAGAAGAGCTAAGCTTGTGTGGAGCTTAGTTCATCAGCATTTTATTCTGGGTAATAAAAAAAATAAAATAAAATGGATACCTGTTTTCCACTGCTAAAACTGAAGCACCACTGTGTGAGAGCAACAGGAGAAAGAAACCAACCAACGGAGAGGAGAGAGAGAGAAAGGAGCGCGTGCGAGAGAGCCCACTGCTAGCTCACTGAGACAAGGAGACTGACCGGAGAGGAGAGAGAGCACTGAAGGACTGGCTGGCGCCTCACCGGGAAGGCAACTCACCCTGACATGAGTGGTCAGCCGAGTCCCTGCTCCCCCAGTCCAGCAAGCTCGAGAGAAGGGCCTTAAGCAGGTTTCACTTCATTCCATACTTCTCTTTGCGAGCAGGGCATTACTTTTCAGAGCAGACGGGGAGAGGAAAACCCTCATCTCAGAGTTGGTCTCGTTCTAAAGGGGTACTATATTTTAGCAGTAACTGTTTACATTTTAGAAGCAGAGTATCTGAGAGAGAGAAAGAGAGAGAGAGTTCCTGACTAAGTGACAGCGAGCCAAGCAGAAATCCAGCGGAACGTAGCTGATGCTCAACTCTGAGATGCAGGTTTTGTTGTCCAACACTGGCTCTGAAATCCTAGTGTCATCGTGTCGCCCACATCCTGAATGGGTCTTTTGTGACAAGGTGGTTTTAAAGAGATTCTTTCAAAGGAGCACTGAATTTTTAGAAGTTTGTCTCTGAATTCTTAGTGGTGGACCTGGGAGATCCTTGTTCTGAGAAGCTTACAAAAAAAGTTTAAAACAAAAACTAAATTAGAGCACCAACCTTGAGAACTTTCAGTGTGATTTGAAGTTGCAGCAATCAGCCTCTTCTTCCTACATTGGATAGCAGTTAGAGGGAAAGGAGCCTGCGCGCTCGAGCAGGAGGAGGGTTTCAAAGTGTTTTCTGTATGCTTTAATTGGCGACTGTCTGGACTCTACTCTGTGAAAAACAAGCCTTTCTGTAAGATGAACTTCGCGCTTGAAAGGGGATGGGTTCCTGTGCCCTTCGGCCCTGGAGGAAAAGATGCTAACAGGCCTGCTTCACTTGCTCCCTCAGATCCGGGGAAGGAGTAGTGGAAACTGGGGATTATTATATTGGTTTCGAAGTAAAGACTCTACGATGTTACCGAAGCAGGTTGGGAAAACGGACAAAGCAGGCGGTTGTTGGAAGGTGGCCTCTGATAGCTGGGTATAATTAGAGATAATGGGTTAGGCTTTTGTGTGGCTTCTTCGGTGATTAACGCAGATAGCTGAAAGATTCAGGTGTTGAAAAACCAAACCCGGAGCCTATTTTTCAGGTAGTGGACGCACGCGGCCGTGCCATCGACGCTGGCTCGAGAACTAGCGGGAAGTCGAAACTGAGAACAGCACATAAGAGAAGCCATCCAATTTCTAAGTTGTACCCATGTCTTAAATAAGTCATATGGGAACACTGGGAGCATTTTATTTCTGTCTAAACCTTTTTAGAAACAGCGCAGAGAACTGACGATTCCTACAGACCCATTTTTATCAGGTCCCTAAATTAGAATAACCTCTACCTCCTAATTGGCAAAGAACAGTAGAGCGTGATTCACTAACCGAGGTGTTTTTAAAGTTGGACTTAAGTTAGCTTTATACTCAAAGGGCTCCAAGTGTTTCTAGTCTTTTTTTTGGGGGAACTCAAAATACCTCTCATATGAATGTACTTAAATGATGTAAAACCCACTTTTTGTAACTGGGGGGGAAGCCCTTTCATTACTGTCCTTTCTGTAGATTGTTGAACCGCTTTCATAACCTGTATTTGCTGTAGTTTTTCAAGAGTGTCTCTCCCCCAGTGCAGACCTGGTGTAGCATACCCACAATCCGTGAGTAGCGTGCACATCAACATGGAACAGGTGTTCAGAATTTTTTTTTGTTCGGTCCTGCAGCGAACGTGGTTCGAGAACTGCGAAAGAAACTTTTCCAGAAATGAAACCCATTCTTTTCTCATAAAAAGCCTCCAGAGTTTAGACTTCTAAAATGTGAAAGAATGGAGACACACAGGCCACCTTCCTTCCTTGTAAGATGGACTGTTTTATTTATTAACATTGCCGAAGGGCTTTTTAATTTTTTTTCCTTCCGTAGGCTGCGTAGTTGCATAGACTTTTCCGATAGGTTTAAGCTGTAACCCTCTGTGCAATGCAATCCATTGAGTAACGTAAGCCCCTCCTCTCCCCTCACCCCCTTTATTTCACTGATGGGAATGCTTGCCTCTGCTTTGTGCTGGTTTTTTCCTTTGTAGCAGTTACTCTGAGTTTTATAAATCCAGACATCAGTGCTAGCACGGTGTTAACTCTTTTTTGATTTTGTCTCAGTTTGTTTTAAACCTGTTTGTCATCAATAAAATATTAATAAACAGCTCTTGCATTCAAGGTGGCCCCTACCTTTCAATGATGAAACCATGCACCGTTCATTAAAACTTAGTCTGATTGTATAAACTTCAAGTTTATTACTTTTTTTTTTTTTTTTTCCTAAACACAGACTAGTACAAAAGTGTGTTGGGGGGGAGCTGTGCATAGCGTACATGGGTAAGCAAAGGAACTGTGAGAACCTGTCCCTGCCCTCCCTCCTCTTCCCTCCTCCTGCATCCTGGGGACCAGCACAAGCCCGGGGAGGAGCTGGTTCTCGAGGTGACGGGTCCAGCCTGGAAGCTCTCCTCCCTCCTCTGGCCCTGGCCCCTCCAAGCTGTTACCACAGCACAGGTTAAAAAAAACAAACAAACCCAAACCAAACTAATACTTCAACGTTTTCTTAATCCTGCCTGTCTTAAACTTGAAAGAAAGGGCTCCTGCTTGCTTTAGTTAAGTCTTACTCTAAGCCCTTAAACGATTTAAGTGTTTGAAATGGGTTTCAGCCCAGCTCTTGCTCAGCTGCTGGGTTAACGGCAGGCGGCCCCTGCTCTGCTTGCCCGTGGCGCTGTCGGGAAACACAGCCGGAGGTGAAAATGTTAGTGCACTACGCAGCTATGGTACTCCAGTCTTGGTCTTCAGCTGCACCGCTCAGGGGTGTTAGCAAAAACACTGTCATGGAAAGACATTTCCTCTGCAAACCCAACAGTGGTTAAACCTTCGGCGCTTCCCCGGCGGGAGAAGGCCCAGCTTAGCGTGGTAATACTTCATCAGACCTTGAAGACAATACAACAGTGGTACAAAACGAAAAAAAAATCTACGCGATGTTGTCAGGTTCACATTAAAAAAAAAAAAAAAAAATTCAAGTCTAACCGATTTCTGTTAACCCATTGCCCCCATCCCTGG